CATATAAAACCGACCCTTAGCGATTTTTTCAATTCCACCTTATTTCTTAACCCTAAAACTCCCCGGCCTTCTCCTCCCTCTACCTCGATCTTCTCTCTGTCTCTCACTCCCTTCGAACTCCACCGCCGCCTTCCACCGTCCGTCGCCACCGACCACTCTTATCTGTCGTCTGCCGCCGTCCGCAGTCCGCTGACGTCGCCGCCGCCACCACCGCCGGTCTCTGTCACCCGCCATCCTCCTCAATCAGCCGTCCGCCGCCTTCCACCGCCTTCCACCGCCATCGAGGTTATGTTCTCAAATCTCAACTTCTATTTTTTTCGTATTTTAATAATTAATTATAATTTTTTTAATATTTTAACAAATGCATGTTTTGTTGTTATTGTAATTTATATGCATGCTCTGTTTATATTAATATACCCATGTATATACTTAAATGCGTACTTTAGTTTTCAACATTCATGTTCTATTTGTTGAATAAAAATTCCATGCTATTTTAATTTTAAATTCTTTAATTTCCGAAATGCATATCCAAAATCCAAATCTATGCTAATTTTAATATATATCCGAATAAAATGCATGCATACTTTGATGAAATTTATGCTTTTATTTTTAGTTTGATGTGTAGTATGCATACTTATATTATAGTTTGGTACCATCTCTTTTTTTTGGGTTGTATGTCTAATATCCATGCTTAAACATGAATTATTTTTTGTTTAAACCATATGCATGAATATTCGAATGTTCTTATGCTATTTTTGGAATTATTTTTGGACTTATGATGAAGCATGCATGCTCAATACAATTTTTTGGACATTTATTAGGTATTCCCGAATTATTTATAAAAAAAATTGCCCCCTTCATGTTAAACTTGCAAAAAGTTTAACATGTTTGAAATAATGAACAAAAAATTAATTTAGACTGTTTTGAGAAATTGATTTATAAACTGTTTTGAATAATTAAGTAAAACAACAAATTTAGACTGATTTTTAACTTATATTACCAAAACTAAAAAGTATAAAAACTGTTTTTTATAAAACTGTTTTTATACCAAAATCTATAAAACTGATTTTTTAAAAAAAGTAGACTATTAAACTGATTTATAAAAAACTATAAAACTAATTAATTCATACACTATTTTTCCTAAAAACAGAGTTTAATAAGTATAAAACAGGTTTTTGTAATCGCGGAGGAGGCAGTCGCGGTGGCAATCGAGAAGGCCAAGCTGGAGACAACCGAGAAGATGAGACCGAAGAAGATTATCTATATGATGATTCTAGATATTATCATAATGGTAACCGGAGGAGCTTGTAAATGATATACATTTTTATTTGAACATTGTTTATTTACTATAATTCTATTGTGCTTATTATTACTTTTATTTCAGTCTGTTTGGTTATGAAATGTGTGTTCTAGTGGGTTCTAGTAGTCTGTTTATTACTTTTATTCTGCAAATATTTTTTAAAATAAACTTTTCTAAAGAATAATTAAAAAAAAATTTATTTTTTTATAAAAAAAAAAACTTTTTTTTAAAAAATAAAAAACTTTAGTCACGGATCCGAGCCGTGACTAAATTCTAGACCGATTTTTAAAAAAGTTATTTTGCAAATTTAATTTTTTTTTAAAAAAATAAAAAAGTAGTCACGGATCAAGTCCGTGACTAAAATTTGAAATTTGAAAATTTAAACAGTAACATTTGGCGGTTAATTTTTAAAAATTTGAAAATTTAGTCACGGATTAGTCCGTGACTATATTTAGTCACGGAAAAGGCCGTGACTAAGTCGCCGGTGTGGTTATTCCGGTGACAAGTTAGTCACGGAAACGGTCCGTGACTAAGCCGTGACTACGCTAAATCACGGATAAAATGACCGTGACTAGAATTAGTCACGCCCAAACAGTCACGGATTTAGTCACGGACAAAGTCCGTGACTAGCAAAGTTAGTCACGGATTTTTTATACTGCGGTCCGTGACTAAATCCGTGACTAACTCCGTGTTTTTTTGTAGTGTTGTCTTGGCCTATACATGTGACTTTCCCTTGTCTATGTAGCATGTGAGTGTTTGTTGTTTTGACCTCACCCGTGACTTCTCTTCTAGCTGGCAGCCTAGTATTTGTACCCCTTGCTTCTCCCATTGTGAAGCAGCCTGCGTGAGTGTCATTCCAGAGAGAGCAGAGCTCACTTCTTCTTCCTCCTTTGTGTGAGTGTAGAGAGGTCTTTGTGGAGAGTAGAGCGTGGTGTGCTATAGCCTCCTCTTAGTGTGGTGTGTGAGAGTGTGTGTAGATAGACCTGAGCCGGAGACGGAAGTAAACGGTCCTTACAGTTACAATACTATGCATTCAACATGGGAGTAACGACTCCTATTTCGAAAAAATGTATAATAATCTTATTTTAAAATTTCATAAGTTATTTACTCCAATTTAGACAATTTCCCAGTAAAAATTATTATAAGGGTTAGTTTAAGTAGAAGTAGTGATGTCTTGCGAAAAAAGTAGTAGTGGTGGGCCAAGTAACACCCTATTGCAAATTACTCCGTATAACAAGTTGGATTCTACTATTCCGTATAACAAAAAATTAAACTAGGGACACTTTTGTCAAAACAGGGTGCACATAGTAATTCTGGAGGTGTGCGAAGTAATGCCCTTATCCTAAGTACTTATACTAAAGTTCGGAAGCGGGGGCATTTGCCCCCTAGGTTCTCCACGAATGTACCCTAAATTACATTTTACGAATAATCATTCTTCTGATGATCATCATCTCTCTCCAACTGCTTCCGCTTCTCCTTTGAATACTACGTAGTACAATTCTTGTAACTCTACAGGTCCGATTTTGAACCCGTCGGAAGACCTGGACTAGTGAGTCAAATTGGTCATATGATGATGATTGATTTTATGTTTGATGAAGGGAGTATGTTATTTATCTCACTTTTGCATGTCTGTAATTTTGTGCATTCAATCACAAGCCTTTTATTAGAATAAATTATACATGCTCATGAATACGTAGAATAGTCCGTATAATATACGGACAACGGAGTATGAATTCAAATAACATCGAGTAAAATGGGGTATGTAGAATCGTTGTTTCTGAAACATACTGATACTGTTTCATTTGAATCGAAAAATGGATTCATTAAATTGGAAGTCCTCAGAAAATCAAGAGCAGATATCGGCACGTGAACTTCTGAGAGTTCCGAGTACGAGTATTAATGTGACGGAAACGAACATACTCCCGTAACCTATTTCCTTCGTAGCCCTAATTATATTAACTCATCTGTCATCCCTACCTTCCCATTATTTTTGCTTAATGCCTTACAGCCTTTTCTTTTCTGCCCATTTTGATTAATTTCAACGGTTTCACCTATCAAATCACCAAAAATTACACTATTTTGTTTCACCTTCACAATATACACTGTACATTCATAATAAAACGCGATTTCAGGTAAACGTGGACATACCCTTACAACACATCCATGCTCCTATCTGAAACACCCCAAGTCCCAACCAAAGGTCCACAACTACCTTTTTCATATTTTCCCCTAATTTTTATTACCAATTTATTGCCAAGTCACAATAGTTATTTTTTCCAAACACTTTTTTACCACTAGCTAATACAAATATTTGGTCACAACGAATAATCACTATTAAAAAATTACGGAATTGACATGGCCTTTTAGCACAAGTTTGCCAAAATTCATAGAGGATTTGACATGAATACTTCAAATCTGTGCCAACTGCATTCTGTCAAGAGTTATTTGGAACGAGATCATCGATCAATCCGTGTCATTATTTTTTGGGAAAATTCTCTAAATAAGAGTAAAAAATTTCGAAATTCAAAAATAGAACTTTCATGTACACCATAAGTTCATAAGTTGTGAACTTAACTACTTAAGTGTCTTCCACACCATATATAATTATAAATCCAAACCCTCATCTGCATAGGTTGCTTTTATGTCTTTTTTCAACCTAAAGCAGTGTATAATACGTAGTATGTAGCACTAAGTAAATCTTCGTGTACATGCCATTCTGTACACATGCATACAGGTTTATATATTTTGTATGTCTCACAATTTATATACTTCGTATATTTTAAGATGATTTGTTGTGATATCAATAAATTATAAGGACTTTTTCTGTTCAAGTAGTGCACTTTTGCCTGTTTGTAAAGAGACCCGATTATTATTTATGAAAATATCATCACGGTTTCCCCCCAAAAGTATACCTTTTAATTAACAATGCTTAATTAAAGTGTAACCTAACAACTCTTCATACAAGTGTAATATAGGTGATCCTAACTTATTCTGTTACACCTCTAACATACCCGTGTGAAATGATCAATTCACTTTTCTATCATGAGTTTGTAAATTTAACTTTGTTTTTTACGGAGTACAAAATTACTAGCAAGTGTCTAGGATAGCAGGTCTCGGATCCAGAACGTTAAACGCAAGCTAAAGGCATACAACTGGAGTCTTGCTCAAATTCATCCTCAAACTAATAAGGTTGTTGATTATTTGGCTTATAGGAGCATTTCCTAATCATTTTGTTGGTATCCTAAAATTTGATCGATGCAGTTAGTTATCGTTATGTAATTTAATTTTGAGTTAGTTATCCTTATGTAATTTAATTTTGAGTAGGTATCCGATTGGCCCTCCCACTCTTTGTGATCCTCTTTTGCTAAATAACCTGGTAGAATGTTCCTGGCCTGGTCTCTACCCCATCAATCATTTCATTTTTTTGGTCTTATCACCGGGTAAAAAAAGAGAAATTTGACCTAGTATAGTATATTACAAAAAAATTAAGCATACATATTTTTTCCTAGAAATATATGGTTCATATCATTTCATTAAATTAGTTATAATTGAATTTCAATCACAAATTTTACTTTTATGATCACTTTATGAACAATTATGACAAACCAAATGAAGACACAAAATGGGACGAGATCATGAGGGTGAAATGGGGGAAAATGAAATCATTTTTAATTTTGTAAGCGAATTAGCTTAAAAGAGCTGGAATGGTAATTAATCTCACAAGAATAGATATAACGTGGTGATGTAGGTGGGTGAAAACCTATATATAATTAATCTCAAGTAGGTGCTAGCAGCAATTAGCATATTTTAGTATGGACTACGTACGTAATTACTACGGAGTACTAATTAAGTACTACAATAATTAAGATAGGATGGCCGGACGGAAAAATAAAAATTGAATTTGATGAGCTAAATAAAGTCGGAGGCAGGGTTGGTGGACAAAAATGTCGTAGTAATACTTGTATGAATCATTTTCCTCTTTTACCCTTCCAGCAGTTGTTCTTCGGCGGCGGCGGGGAGTACTCTGGAGCCGCATCAGCTCTTGCACTATGGAAAGACGACGCTGCTGCTTCCCTAATATCTCCATAATAATAATTATAATAATAATTATTATTATTCTCATGAGCATCAGGCCGCAGCATCTGCATCTTCGTCGGGGCTTCAATGTAATTTGACGAGCAACTGATGAGCTGCAGCTTCTCATTATCAGCAGGAGGAGGCGGGGGATAATTTCCATGAACCCACGACCTGCGGCGGCGGCGGCGGTTAGTGGTAGGGCCGGAGGAGGCATCGGAAGCCATGGAATCATCTGTGTCGTCGTCCTGGTCAACTACTTCACGGCTGCTGATGTTGTTTTGTGGGTCATAGAAATTAACGTTGTTGTTGGTGATGGTGGCCGTTTCTTCATCATCATCATGCTCATATGTGGTGGTGGGGGAGGCAGCGAGGTACATAGTCCACCCGGATTCGCAGCTACTGTGGCATTCTTCCACTTGGGGAGACGACGACGACTCCATTGCTAATTAATAAGCTAAGCTAGCTGCATGCGCTTCACCTCACCTCAGCTCCTTAATTCATCAATAATATACTACGTACCATACATACATATATGGGAATGGGAATGAATGAAAGAAGCTAGTAGCTAAGGGATTGATCGAGCCCAAATTAATTGAAGACAGATCGAATTTATGGATAGTTACAGATGAGGAGGGCAGGGCAGGCCAATTAAAAGGCAACGAACGTTGTAGTAGTACGTATAGCTAGGCATAGCAGCGCTGAGGTAGAATTTATTGAGAAGCACATGCAGCATTATACTTGTGCGGGCTTTATTGCACTTCTGACCTCACTCTCCTAGCTAGCTTCTCATACCCACACACAATTGAGGCCAGGCCAGGCAGGAGCAAACATGCTATCCCTTCATAACTTTTCATCTCATTATGTTTTTATAATCTCAAGACAGACATTAATTGTTAAGTTTATGTGTTAAGAGAGGATGAGGCTATGCATGGAAGCACTAGAGCACATGGGGGAAGCTAAGCCCATCCACACATATTTGTACGTAGGGAGTACATCATTTCGAGTAAAAAAATACGTATGTAGTATGTGAGGAGCGAGAGTTGACCCTAGGGAAACTGAGGTACTATACCGACCTCGTATACCACTAACAATGTTTAGAAGTTGTGTGTTACTCCGCCAAATTGATTGAGTGATGAATTTTCATTATTCATTGTTTGCAAAACTTGTTCAACCTAAATCTTCTAATAAGGCTTCAATTAAATGGTTCAATTACTCGTACGTCCTGCTCTTGAACCACCGTCTAGTCACTCTGTCCCAGAAAGTTAGTGCTCAACTGCATCTCCTTTTCAGTGGGTGGTCAAACCGATGATTCGACCAATTTCTGCTCGTTTGAATTTCCTTTGTTGGTTACTGGTCAAATCGATTTTCTCCCTCCGGTGGCTGGTGAAATCAGATCTTGTTTTTTGTATTTTTTTATTTTTTCCTTGGAGTATCAAGTTCAACAAGACTCTTAGACTAGACTACATTATTTGCGGGGTTAGCAATCTGGGAGGATTTGTAGGATATTTTCCATTATATGTCTCATCTCATTGTAGCTTTAAACTATTCAATCATTTGTTTCGTTCCTAGCTATGATTTAATGAATAAATTAGTTATTTGATTTAAAAATTAAATTCTCTAAATACAAGTACGTCAATTCATATCAAAAGGTTAAGTTTTATGAGCGGACGTCTCCCTAGTCATCTAGGGTTAGTTTTTTCGCTGCTCCGTTTTCTTCCTCAATCGACAGGGGAGGTTTTCAGTGTCAGCAGGTTTGCTTCGATTGTTGTTGTGTCTGGTCGGGAAAGGAAGGGCGGCTTCAGCTCTGTGTCTTTTTTTCGGAGGTGTCTCGGCGTGGAAGGGAAGCAGGGCTGCAGATTCTGCTCTTGGTGCGCCACCGGTCGTTGGTCGAAGAGAGAATGGAGTTTCCTCGATGGCAGCAGGACTCAGGCAGTTTGGATCGCTGCCTTCTTCGTGTTATGGCCTTCTCAGTTGTGCTACTGTTTCCGATTGGGGAAATTTCATCAAGCAGGGATCCCGAGTTCACTAGTGCTATAATCGCAGGGGTCAAGGAGATGCCTGTGGAATTTGTGGTGGTGGGTTTGCAAGGAATCTTTCAAGATGAAGGCTTGATGATCCGTCCCCCTCCTGAGCCACCACCGAGGATGATGTTTGGGGAAGGGTTTCGTTTGTTCTGTCAGTTTATTTTACTTATTTTCGCTTTACTCTTTTTGAGGTTCTTAGGCATGAATGCTGTCGTTGTTGTTTTCTGTATTGTTTATTTCCGCCAGACTCTTACATTAGGTGGGGGTGATAAGGGTTTTGCTCTGGCCACGTTTGACTCATTTAGACTCATTACAGGACAAGCGAATCATATTGCTCTATACAGGATGATTGGTTCTCCAGCTGGTCCGAGGATCGGTGGCTGGAAGTTTTTCCTTTATCATTTGTATCCTTTGCTGAATGTTTTATTATCAATATAAGTCCCCTTGTTACAAAAAAAAAGTACGTCAATTCTTCCTATCCTACCCGTTGCCATATCTTAATTAGCTAAGCCGCCTTCCACCACCGCCAGTTCTGACCATCAGAAAAAATGTCAAATTTGCATCAATAACATCAGCTCGATGACATTTCCATAGGAAAATTTGGCATTTTCAAATAGTAACATTGTCATCTTCAAAAAAAGTTACGTTTTTTTACACAAGATGACATTTTTTCGACAAAGGCGGCAAGACTGCAAGAGAGGCATCCAATTTTCAATTCTTTATATGTTTATATATATATATATATATATATATATATACACACACACACACACGTATATATATATATATATATGTATATATTAATTCTTAAGTTTTTTATTAAAAAAAACAATATTTTATTCGTTATTTTTATACTTCTTTTTTGCTTTTACGAATTCATTATAAATAAAGAATATTTTTATTATTTTTGTGTTTCTATTATAAGTGAAAATATGATTTTTTGATTAAATCATTGTAAGGATAGAATAGGAAGAGATAATATAATGTATTCCTACTTTGGAAATATGTACAGTTTCTTTTTTAAAGAAATACTAGTGTATACACTTATAATCCTAGCTATTTTTACATTTTGGGTTGCATAACTTGTTTTACCCCTATTTGATATTTGGGACAATTTTCCCATATTAGTATTTAAGTGGGACTGTGAGAGATCAAAATCCTTGAATATACTTCGTACTACGTATAATTAATGTTACTCCCTCGGTACGTATATATGTATATAAATGACGTAATTAAAATAAAAGCAATACTCTGTCGTATGATGATGACCAAAATGAAAAATTTATTTTGTTTACACTGTTACATTTTTTGAGATAATTTAATTTATCAATTTACATTTGAGTGCGTGTGTGCCCCTTAATTTTTTCAAAAAAATGCTGGTGCGATGTTGGGGAGTACGGAACGTACTTTAGCTTCTTAATTTAGAACTTAATTGGCATTCAAAGAAAATACTCGGAAAAGAAAAATAGGAAAATGATCGAAGCAGCATAAAATATTCTTGTGAAGGAAATTTTTTTAGGAGCACCTGGCCTGGCGTGGATGTGCACAAAACAAAACAATAATGTATCTGAGCTCTGACTTATACATGCATGCATCATCAGCTTGCAGATCGAGGAGGCACAGGCAGAAGCTGTCAAAGCAACCCCCGCCTTACGTACAAATTATATACTAGCAGTATAAGAGATAACCCGGCCATCCCCCACCATTCAAACCAATTATATTAAAGCTTAGCTTCTTAGTTAATTATTACGATCCTCAATGTCTTGTTTAACACAATTATTAATAATTAAAATGATTAAAAAATAAAAATTGTGATTGAGATTTGAGTAGAATGGAATAAAATGATATAAACCATATATTTCTCGAAAAAATATGCCATTTATCTTGGAACAATTCAAAATTGAAATTAAGACGGCTAAAAGGACCGAGGAGTAATATAGGGCTTGTTTGGAATTGATTCTCTTTTCTGCCTCCTTTTTAAAAGCAGAAGCATAATCAAAATCAGTTTTTCAGAAGCTGGTCCCCCAACTTCCAAAAAACTGTTTGGAGGAGTAATTTGAAGCACCCATCAGTGTTGTACATTTTTATCCAAACATTCCAATATCTGTTTCTACTTCCTGCATAACCAAAAACAGATTTAAAAAATAGATAAAAAAAAAGATCCAAACACCCTATAATATGCATGGTCGGCCGATAGAATTGAAGGACAAGATTCAATTGGAGGTTACTATAATATCATCATATCACTCTATTGAGCTCGGCCATTATACATATTGGGGTTTCCATCGATCAAGAGCGCGCGCATATTTGTGTAAGTATATACGGAGTACTTCGTATATATGTATGTATATATACACACACATAATTAAATACGGAGTATAAAATATTTACTTCTGGCATGGATCTGTTACATGTGATTAATATTAGGAGTTGGCATGAATGCAGAGCTGCAATGAGGGTTAGTTCACCCTATCTCATCTCATCTATATGCTACAGTACTGTACACGACAGCAGAGAATATAATTGTGTTTCCTTAGCTTATTTCTTTATGTATTGCATGTACCACCTCGCAATTTTAGAGCTCGTTTCCTTAATTGTGTTTCCCCTCACTTAAATTGATTATATTCTCGTTTAAGCGGCTAAATTAGTTAAATCTATTGAATTATGGAAAAAATAAATTTAAAATACATTTTATTAATAAAATAGAATAAAAATTATATAAAAATAGTTAAAATGGTTATATATAGTAACTTCAGAGTGTGACATTTACACACTTAAAAATGTGACTTTCTCATACATTACCAATGCAACTAGTGCATGTTTTTCTTTAATTTGCTGAGTTCATGTAAGACCTCAACTAAGCATCTCTTCGCTTATACTCCCTCTGTCACCTTATATATCTTTGTCTCATTTTATCTTTTTCATTTATACCACTTAGTTTGTCTCATATCACATCTAGTAATATTTAATTCATTCTTATTACTTTATTCATATGTTATCAATTCAATACTAACCGCGTAATTCCCTTTTCTTAATAATCATACCCTCACTTTTCCCCCATATATTGAATGTCTGGTCAAATCAAAACATATCAAATCAAATAAAAATCACTTTTAAGAGATTATACTAGACCACCATTATTGTACAAAGTACTCTAGTCATCTCTTATAACTTTGCGAATAATAAAATAAAATTTGTATGATAATTAAGATTTGTGCAAAGAAAAGAGAAATGATAGAAACCACAAACTAACCGATTGAAATGGAAAATGGTAAAAAAATTATGATAGCAAAAAAGGAAAGATTACAAAATTATTAGGGACATAAGGAATATAACATTTTTTTTATTACTAGAGATATTGAGTTTTTTAGCATCATTTAAAATTATAATATTAAGGCATTTTTTATGAATATTATATTTAAGATATTAAATGAAAAGAAAGTGATTAGAAGAAAAACATATTTCACAAAAATAACTAAACTGTATAGTCGGAACATTATGATGTAAAATATAATATCCAGTACTTTTGAAATAATAAAAGTCATTGTTAAGATATCTAAATTTCTTATAAAAAATTGATATTCTTAAATTTTACTATTTACTTAACTGTGTAATTTTTACTAAATATACTATCTCTATTTTGTTTTAATTGTAACAGTTTGACGTTCAAATTTGTCAATGTACACACAACATTGACTGTAGTTATATTTAATTATATATTAATAAAATAAAAAAGTTAATACTATGTATCTGGGAAATTCACATTAGTAAAAATTTAATACTATTTCATAGTAAATAATAACTTGATCATATATACTAGTTGAAAATCATGGTTATAATAAGATGTGTGAATAATATAAAAATGTCAATGTCTTTAAAG